GGCGCTACGGAGGGGATAATACTACATGAGTCGATACTCTACAGCGAAAAGTAGCACGTATACAAGGGAAATGACAGGCTTTGATGACAGCTGGAGAGGGGAACCTTGCCCTACGGCCAAGAGCTCAATAAGTGATCCTAACATATCTGTGCGACCTTCGAGTAGTATACGCCTAAAGCACTTGGATCCAGGAGACCCTTCTCATGGCCCACCCCTTACTATCCGCAACTCAGAAACATGTCTCCGGTTTGAAGAAAGAGTTTCTCGGCAAGCCGTTAAATGTGCATCGCGTGATTCCCGCTATTGATCACAAAAGCGGTGTCCCATAGGAGTGTCCTAAAGTGGATGATGGCGAAGCAATGACTACCCAAATCCCACCACACTCTAAAGAAAGCCTTGCAGTGCCTAAGCAGCGTGTGTACTCAGGACGCCACAACCATCAGGCCGTTGCTCATCGCCACAGGCGGACAAAGGCAGCAGGTTTGATGCACGGAGAACCCCGGATGGCTGTCCCGGGCGATGGTTCCCACTGAAGAGTCCATAGCGTGCGTTGAGGGCATTAAATATCTTCTAAGGCGGAAGAAGGCAGTGGTGTTGACTGTTTTTACGGGTTAGTGTGGAGGGGGGAGGGGGGCGGGTTCAAGGGATGGCGTGTTCAAGTGAAGCGCTCGCGCATGTTGTAGCCGACCGGACTTTAAGGTCACTGTATCTGAAGCCGCTCGCTGTGGGGGCACGGCAAATGACCTCAGCGGAGTAAAACCTTGAACCAAGGTGTCAGGCGTCGTAATTATGGCGGCTGTCGGCAACAGGCTGGACAAAGTCAGTACGTACAAAGGTTCCTGATGCAGTGGGTGAACAAGGAGAATCGAAATCCCCGGTTTAAGACTGCGGTATTCGGCTAAGGGTCAAGGAGTTGGATCAGTGTGGTCCGTTTACTCCAACTCTCTTCTCCTGAGATCATTCATACATGATTAAATCAGATGGAGAGAAGGAGTAGCAGTAGTAT